TTGAAGAATTCTGGGGCCATTTTCCTTTCGATTCTTTTGTTCTGAAAGTCACAAGAAGAAACCATTTTCTTCAATTCTCTGCCAAAAGCAGTTTTGATAACAAGATTTCTTTTAGATTCTTCCCTTTTTCAACTCAATAAAAGATAATTGATTACAAAATTCGTGCCAATGTAGATTATTTTCTTACAAAAGCAAGAAGGAAAATGAAATTTTTTTTCTTTTCGGGAAAAAAGTACCTTTAGTAAAGTTTGGTAACCCCAAATCGCAGCTAGGAGAAAATCAGCAATGCCAAAGAATGAAATAGTTAGAAAATGATTCAAAGAAAGTTATATTAATTATTATAAAATCCTAAATGTACATTGTTTCTGTCGTCTTCAATACGTCCCCCATAGCATAAGCACAAACCCAGACACATCTTAGAGTTAAGGCGCATCATAGTCCTTGATGATGGAAATATAAATATTAAAAAAAAAAAAAAAAAAAAACAATTTTAAAAAAAAAAAAAAAAAAAAAAAAAGGAACCCTTTTAAAAAAAAAAAAAAAAAATTTCTTCTCTCCTTAATTTCTTCTCTCCTTAGGTCTAGGACATGTAGTTTGTGCGAGGATGATATTTGGTTCAAGAAACATCCATATTGCCGCATATGGCGCTAATAACAAGTTACCAACCATCTTTGTCTTGAAATTTAAACACAAAATATGGGCTGTTTTTGGGCCATTTCCACCATACTCCAGCCAAGAAAATATATTACACAAACACATCTAGGGTTGAGATTAATGGCCACGGGTGCGGCTGGAGATGGACTTCTCCGGGGTGTATATGAAGGGTGCATTTCAGGCAGTGATATGGGAATCCAGAGAAGGCCATACCATAAGAATTGCAAGTGCCAACTACATAAATCGCGTCAAAATTGCTTGCATTTGTCAAAATATAGAAGCGTGTCGTATCCTGTTAGGCGGTCTTGGAGCGAAGGTTGCCTTGCGTTGATGGGTGTCGGAATCTCGTCTTCGCCTTGTTCCTCCCCAGCTAGATCCATCGGGGAGATAACAAGAATGCAAACACAATTGATACTATGTAAGGAAGACGAAGAAGAAGAGACTAAGGTTTAATCATTTTCATTTATCTTGGTCTCTCCTTAACCTTTGGAATAATTAATGCAGTATTCCCAACCAAGATTTTGATTAATTTTAAAAAATTATAAATTTTAATGAATTTGTGAATTTGAATAGATTTCACAAATTTCATAAGAATCTCATGAAAAATGGTAAAATTTCAAAAGATTTTGTTATATGTATTTTTAAGCTTAAAACCCATTCAAAATTTTTAAAATCCCTCTATTCATGAAATTCTTATAAATCCACTAGTCATTGAGAGTATCTAAATTTTAAAAGATTTTATTTAAATTAATTAAAATCTTAGTTGAAAACACCTAAATTTCAGTGGATTTCATTAATATCGATTAAAATCTCAATTGGAGGACAATTTAATTTAGAAGAATTTTTAAAATTTATGAAAATCTCAATTGAGGACATCCTCGTTTTTATAAGAATATAAACGGTTGGCTTTGATTTTTAAGTTCGTTTGGTTGTGTCCATTTATACTTGTATGTGTTTTTGTTTCCTCGTTAGAATTAAAGAAATATACATGTGAACAATAGTGTTTCCTCAACATCTTTCTAATGTTAATACAATTTCTTCTGGTACTGCACCTTTTATTCCCAGTCCATAATTGATACTTGTGTTCTGAAAAATGTTACATTGATTGATGGGGGAAGAAAAGTAAAGAGTTTGTGAACCAGACTGAACCAACTACTTTTTGATCTGTTCTGATTCGACTCAAGTGGTTCCAGATAAAAAGGAAACATCAACCCCAAGCTCCAAAGTTTCCGTTACCTGACTACTTTCAAGAAAAGTTGTATCCACGTCTTTTGTGCTACCTAGTTTGATTTACAATTATCATCTAAACTTATTTAAAAGGTCAGTTAATAAGGTTTTGGACCTAACCCTAAGGGTTAGTTCAGTGGTTAGACTTTGGGTCTGCTCTCCAATGTTCACCAGTTCGAGTCACTTCAAGGCTATTGAGGTGAGTAGCCGGCTGTAAACTTTAGGGCCTCGTGGAATTAGTTGAGGTACGCATAAATTGGTCCAGACACCCACGATTATTAAAAAAAAAAAAAATGGTTTTGGACCTTAAAAAGTTGGCATATTGAACGATAAAAATTATACTTACATGAACATTAAATAAGATATTAACTATTTTTTATTTTTTCAAAAATAGGTGATAATTGCATTGTCATTATGCGAAATATATATTATAATATTAGCCATATTATTAAATAAGGTATGATTAAGCAACTATTCTCGTATTAATTAGTAATTTAGTGTGTAAATTAATTTTAATAACTGAGTACAAAAACCAAAATCGTGGAGAGAGACTCATTTGCTCGTTTAAATCCTCAACGCCGTTGATTATTAACTCTTCGGAGCAGTCTGCAAAGTCTCATCATCACAAGACACACCTCACTTCCATACATTTCATAGCTAGTAGCAAAACTTTTCCCTTAAGGAGTGTCGAGCGAAATAAAGAGAACTATCTTGAATGCACATGAACAGAAGACATCTAATACTGGTATTTTTCACCGAAATAAATGTTACCTGTACTAGCATGGGAAGCAGTCGATCCCCAGGTCCTCAATACGATAAGTAAAAGATCCACCATAAATCCGGGCTGTTATAGGTGGCATATGTTTGGCTAACCCTATAAAGAAAAGTTCCACCAAAATAAATTACATTTTTATACCCTATAAAGAAAAGTTCCACCAAAAAAAAAAAAAAGTGGCCCCCATGGGCTAAAAGAAAGCTGATTTTGCTCCTCTAATGTGAATTTATTCTACCAGGCAAGGAATTTTCTGATGGCTTATTAAAGAGCAAATAAATGGTGTAGACATAGAAAAGAGATTTGGACAATTTAAAAGTGTTGCTGCATATAATTACAGTTGTGAGAAGAATATATTAAAAATCTGTCTATGTTTTTCATTTAGTTTTCTTTTAGTCAGGAAGCCAACGAACGAGGTCCAACCGAGTTGCTCTTTTGAGAGGTAATCTGGTACTATCCCTAGTTATTCTTACTCTTCTGCCAACAAGAACATGATTGTGATCTAGGGAGAGTTACTCTTTATGATTATTTGCTTAATCCTAAGAAGTATATTCTTAGTATTTTGGTTGTCTAATTCGTACCTATATGCATATTGTTATCATTTCTGGTTCATCCTGCTCATACCTTATTCTTCCTTCCCGTTCTTTATTGCACTCTAGAGGCTTGACGCTTTTCGTTTGCGAGTTTGATTGCTCATTTTACTTTAGTTGCAATGGTTTTCGATCTCTGTAGTCTGTAAAAACTTCATTAGCGTTACATTGATTATATATCTTTCATCCTGCATGATATGTTGTTGATGACATTGCATTTTTGCTGATTTTAATTACAACTATCACACTATATGTCAGCATTAAACATTGAATTTTGTTCATCATATTTGAATTACAACTGGGTAATGGAAGCACAAATTTGTCTATGTATATGAATTAACACAGTTTAATCACAATTGGGTCATGATTCTTTAGATTTGTCGGTGTATGGGAGAATCGTACCAGTTGAATTTAAGAGAGAAAGTAAGACAATACAAAGAGAAGAGAATTATATTGAATAATGTGATTTGTTTACAAGAGAGGTATCCTATTTATAGCCTAATTTGAGAGGAATGTTTTCCTTTCTAACCAATGTGGGACTAACTAACATTTACATTGTATATACATTAACAGCCCCCCTCAAACTCAAGGTGGTAAAATGGAGACCAACTTGAGTTTGGAAACTAAATCCTCAAGGAGTCCAGGAGGGTGCGTTTTAGTGAAGATATCAGCAGTTTGATCGGCTGAAGAAACTGATAATAGTCCAATAGTCCCACGGGTGAGATGATGACGTATAAAGTGACAATCAATTTCAATGTGCTTTGTGCGTTCATGGAATACATCATTGTGAGCAATTTGGATAGCACTTTGATTATCGCAGTTTATGATAGTGGCAGTAGAATGGGTGATGCCCATGTCTTCAAGTAACCAGCGAAGCCAAAAAAGTTCCTGAGTTGTATCAGCAAGGGCTCGATACTCAGCTTCTGTACTGGATCGAGCGACTACTGTTTGTTTCTTGCTGTGCTAAGAAATAAGAGAATCACCAAGGAATAAGCAATACCCAGTGGTAGATCTATGATCAGGGGGGTTACCCGCCCAATCTGCATCTGAGTAGGCACGAAGCTGGAGTGAAGAGTGAGATGAGAAGTGGAGACCATGAAATAGGGTCCCTTTGATGTACCTGAGAATGTGAAGTACTGTAGCATAATGGGATGTGCGAGGAGTAGAGAGAAATCGATTGAAAATATGGACAGCATAAGAGATGTTAGGGCGAGTAACTGTAAGATAAACAAGACTACCAACCAATTGGTGAAACAAGGTGGGGTCATCCAAAGGCGTACCATCCATGGGAGTGAGTTTAGAGTTGAGCTCTAGAGGAGTGGTACATGTATTACTATCTGTGTGTCCCGCTCGAGTAAGAAGATCAGAAGCATACTTTGCTTGCGAAAAATAATATCCCTCAAAGTTAGAAGTGATCTCAAGTCCCAAAAAGTAACTAAGCTTTCGAAGATCTTTCATTTTGACATGTTGGCTGAGATAAGTCTTGAGATCCAAAATTCCGGATGTGTCATCACCAGTGATGATCATATCATCAACATAGAGGAGAAGAAGGATAGTACCCTGGTCTATTTTGCTAATGAAAAGAGCAGAATCATGTGAGCTGGAAGTGAACCCAAAATCTCCAACAATGGTGCTGAACTTGGCAAACCAAGCTCGAGGAGTTGCTTGAGACCATATAGAGCCCGACGAAGTTTGCAGACTTGATGCGGAAGATGATGAGAACTAGGAAGAGGGCACATATAAACTTCTTCAGTAAGTTCACCATTAAGAAAAGCATTTTTCACATCCATTTGAAATAATTCCCAATGACGGACGGCGGCAACTGCAATTCAGTTGCGAACTGAAGTGAGGCGGGCAACCGGGGCAAAGGTCTCCTCATAGTCAATCCCATACTCCTGGGTAAACCCTTTAGCTACCAAGCAAGCTTTGTATCGATCAATGGACCCATCAGAGTGAGTTTTGATCTTATAAACCCACTTTTATCCCATGGCATGTTTGCCTTTTGGTAGGTCCACTAGATCTCAAGTGTGAGTGTTTTCGAGTGCCTGTAGTTCATCATTCATTGCTTTCTGCCAAAGAGGATCAGAACTAGCTTCATGATAAGACTGAGGTTCATGATGAGAAAGAATAGTAGAAAATACAACAAAGTCACGAAGATTAACAGAAGGAGTTTACCCGGTCACTTCGTCGAGTAGGGAGATCAGAAGTCGTTGGAGCGGATCCATCAGAAGAGACAAGTTCCTCAGAAGAGGGCAAGGTGGATAACTTAATTGAGGTATCTGTAGACATGTTAGTTGGTAATGACATATCTGAGAAAGAGATAGGATGTGTTGGTGGAGATGTTGACTCAGAAGAAGAGTTTGTCTCAGGAGTGTCAGGAAAAAGATCTGTGGAGAGGTTAGTGAATAGGATAGAGGTATTGTCATGTGACAGGTGAAACTTAGATATGGAGGTGAACATCTTGTGTTCCCAGAAAACGACATAACGAGATACTCGGTGACGTTTGGAGTAAGGATCCCAACATCTATGGCCTTTGTGTTCAACACCATATCCCAAGAAGCAACATAGTCGAGATCTAGATTCCAATTTGGTGCGCTCATGAGGCTGAAGAAGAACAAAACAAGCACAACCGAATATCTTAAGAGTGTTATAGTCAGGAGGGTGACCATAAAGATGCTCAAATGGTGATTGATTCCAATGATGGGAGAAGGCACGTGGCTCTTGGTGTAAACAGCTGTAAGAGCAGCTTCACCCCAAAAGCGTTCAGGACACGAAGCAAATATGAGAAGAGCACGGACGGTATTGAGAATGTCTCGATGTTTGCGCTCAGGACGCCCATTTTGTTGAGAAGTGCCTGGACATGAACGATGAGGAAGAGTGCCATATTGGTGAAGAAAGGTAATGACTCTAGAGTCTGTGTATTCAGCAGCATTGTCAGCATGAAACACTTTGATATTGCAAGAAAATTGAGTTTTGACCATGGTAGCAAAATCAAGGTACAACTGAGGTAATTTAGATCGATTACGCATAAGAAATATCCAAGTGTAACAAGAGTAATCATCAATAAAATTTACAAAATATCTAGAGCTTCCCATAGTAGTAGTGGGAGATAGGCCCCAAACATCAGAGTGAATCAAATCAAATGGTGCAGAAGAAAAGGAATCACTTTTGTGAAATGGCAATGCCGATTGTTTTGCAAGTTGACAAGGAAGACAATCAAATTGTTCTTTATTAACAAGCCCTAAATAACCATTAGATGCTAAAAATTGAAGACGACTAATAGAAGCATGACCCAAACGAGAATACTAGAGACTGATGGATGGGGTAGATGAGACTGGGGTTGCTGTCTGAACTGATGAGGAAAAACGGGATGGAAGGTGAAGATTGATGAGCTCAAAGAGTTGTCCAACCTTACGGCCTATCCCAAGAGTTTGTCCCTGTAAGAATTAATTTGCTGGATTTTGTGTTTTGGCCCAGCTGATTTAAATGGACCGTGAAGTGCGGCCCAAACTTGGTGGGCAATTGATGATCCATTGTGAAGAAACTTC